TGGTCCCTATTTTTCTAATTGCATTTTGTACATGCTTTCGAACTGCTAGGTTGGCAGAAGCTGAAACAAGTAACGGGAGTTCATCCCATTATGCGGCACTAGGAATTTGAACTGCTAAACTGCTGACCTTTCGATCGACAAGCTCAGCATCTTAGCCACTGAGCCACCACGTCCCACTATTAACTGGATATACAATTCCAAAAATTTTATTTCAGATTTGTGCAAGTGATACATTTATAGGTGTATATTAACTGGATATACACCTATAAATGTATCACTTGCACAAATCTGAAATAAAATTTTCAGAATTGGATTTATATGGACTTGACAAAGGAAGCTAAATTATATGGAAGTTTTGAGTATGCTTATAATTTCTCCCCCCCTCCCAGCTTTTTTCAATGAAGGATAAACGAACAGTATCAAATCCCCCCTCCATTTCTTTGATTTATGACCAATACTTTTACTGTATTTAAGTAAACTATTCTTCTTACTTGGAAATTAAAACTTGATTCTAGCATGAGAGTACATAAATCCCTCTCTCTCTTTCTGCTTAGTGTTAAGCTGCTATATATATTTAATTTTGTATTATTGTAATTGTTTTCATTTTCTTTTTATTTGCCATCTAGAATCACTGGTTGAGATGGCTGGCCATACCAATTAGATGGATGGATGGAGTTTGGCTACAATTTTCTTATATTGGTAGCCCAGGCCTTCATTAAACTTCTTCCAGAAGAAGGTTTCATGTGAGGGATTCTTTCCCCATTTGCATAAGACTCTGTAGTGTAGCGTTATGATTTCTCACCCCTCTCCTTTCTTCAGTGGCCTTATATGACTCCACTTTTTCATTGAAAAACAAGTATTGTTAAAAGAGCAGCAAACTTACCTACTAGGCAAATAAGCAACCAAGAACAGTGTTAATTGTTATGTTTGTAACTGGCCATTCCTAATCCTTTTTTAATGTGGATGTGTCATGCTGTCTAAGTAAATACATCAGCACTTCAGGTCAGGTATCAGCCTCTGAGCATCTGCATTAGTAAACTGGTTCTTTCTTGCTCCCATCTTGCTCTTCCTTTTCCTAGTCTGGAACTGCTTTCTAAAAACAACAAATGACCTAGTGGAACTGTTAAAAATCAGGTTTATGCAAGAGTATATTCCATTAGATATACTTCTTAATAAATACAATTATTTAACAAGTGTTTTAAGGTATGCAGTTTAATTGCTCTTACCTGGTTTCTTCTGCCAGTTGAAGCAGCTAAACAAAACTAAGTTAGAAACCCCATTTCTGCATTTGAGTTGTGACAGAGTAAGTCAGGGGACATGGATTGCTTGTAATGCTAAACAAACCACAGACTCTCCTGATTATTTAGTCACTGTCCTGGACAGAAGAGCTGGCGCGACTGATCATTGTTTACTACCTCATTAAATGCACTTGAGAGATTATCATTATGTGCAAACTGGCCAACCAAGTACTTTGAGAGATTAAAACCAACAACTTAAATGGTACCTAAAGGACAAAAGGCCATTCAGAGCAATGTCTGCGCCCTTGCTGTAATATATTTCCACAACTTCCCAGGCATTTAATAGACTTCATATGATATATTTAGAATCAGGGCTACGGGTATATTAAAAGATATTCAATGCAAAAGCATAGAAATACATCCTTGCAATAAAGCTTTAATGTGGTGGAAGGATTTTTTAAAATAAGAATGTTAACTATAAAAAGGAGAAATACCGGGAAGCTTTCATTGCATTTTTCCCAGGAATTAGGTGCTGAACCTTTTTTTTTTTATCAGAAGTTAGGCCACTGCATTTTGTTCAGTCCCCATGTAAAGCATGTTGCAGTAGTGTAACTTCAAGAGAATAGAATTATGAATTACTACTGAAATGTTTTATACTTTTGCTGCAATATTTCATCAACCTTTTTCATACCTCCTATTAGCATAACTTCACACACTTCTGTTGCATAGTTCTTTTCTCTTTCTTTCATACAAATTCCATAATTTATTTCCTTCCATTCACTTCATACTGTTGAATGTTATCTTTCAGTATTTTTATATTTAGTACTTTTTCTTCCTGCAGACGTCCATTCATTCTATTTTCTTTCTGAAACTTCCTTTGTCTTCCCTATCCATTTCTTCTCCCCAAATCTACTTTTAACAGTATAGTTAGTCCTCATTTAGCGACCACAATTGGGACTGGCAAAGCAGTCACTAAATCAGCAAAGCAAAGTGGTCATTAAGTGAAACCGTGACTGTGCTTACTTCAGCCTTACTTCAGCTCTCTTTAGCTTTACAGACCTGTGAAGGCTGTAAATGTGAGGACTGATCTCAAAGCTACTTTTTTTAAAAATCATTGTTGTAATTGCAGACGATCACTAAACAAATCAACAAGTTGCTAAACAAGAATTATCTGTACCAAATAAATGTTTCACCCAAATTCAGAACCTCACATCACTCCTTTGCTCCCTTATTTCCATAAACAAATCAATCATGCTTTTTAAATTATACTTTCCATATAAATATGCTTTAAAATTATTAGATGAAATTAGCAAAAGAAAAGAATACCTATATATAACAACACTGAAATATTAATATATATTCAAAATAATAAGCGTAATAATATTTTCAAAGAGGGAAAAGAGAGGGGAAAGTCCTGGATATTATAAACCAAACAATTCTAAAAAGGTTAAGTATATTACTTGAAAGTCTTTTCCTTGATTTAAAAATAAAAAACCATCCAACCCTAATTCAGATGTTCAGTGGCACATAGAAACATTCCATTGGTTTGAATGAACTGTAGATTTTATAATTCATTTCGCTGACACCCATAATTGGAAAATCGATGTTTTTTTATAGATTTCAAATACTGGTGATATATGCACCTTTAACATAACAGTGTTCCTAGATAGCATGTTAATTCTATTGAAGAACCCCAAATACCAATAATAATAGGGGATAACCATACTATATGTGTTACATCTCCAGCAGAAAGTAACCCTTGAAGGAGATGATTTTAAGTGTATTGTAGATGTGTTAAATTTTTCTGAATGTATTAATGAAAATAGATGTAATTTGGGGGAGGGGAAGCACTGTGCCTTGAAGAGATGCATCTGGGACAGGCTCACCAGGGACACTTCTGTAAAATGATTGAGCAGCCACATGAAAGTCTTGTCTGGAAACACCTCTCCCCAGGTCATTTTAGAGGATCACATCAAAATTAGAACAAATTTCATTTTATGACTATGGATTTTATAAAGTATGGTGTGGCAGGATATTTTAATATTCATCATTGCACTGTGTGCCCACAAAATTATTTTCATTCCTGGTGTACATATTTAAGAGTGTGTGTTTCAGGGCAGGGGACAATTACAGCCTTCTTTCAAATTTAAAGGAAATATTTCAGTCAGTGCTTCTGCATCCTTACAAATGAGTCTCTGTATGTATGAGTGTGTATAGACCCACATCCACATATACAAACATACATGATATGTATACACAAATGGAAAGACATTTTGATTCCCACCATGGACAAATGGCTACAGAAGCTGATGGAGTTGGCCGAAATGGCTAAATTGACTGTTTTGATTAAAGAAAAGAATATAAGTACCTTGGTTGTCACATGGAGACCACTTCTGAACTGTGTACTATAGCTGGAAAAAAATGAAACTTTGATTTTGGGTTTTACCGATTAGACTGATAAGTGTTTATAGAAATGGCTAGTTTATATTACAATGGAAAAGCAAAAAGTTGTTGTTGGATGTTAATGCTTTATTCTACTGCAACAGATGAAGTCAACACTTCTTTTTCCCTTTCCTCACTTCTCTTCCCCCCCCCTTTGCTCTCACTGTCTTCCAATTTTCTTTTGTATTTTGAATCTTATTTTATAATCTAATAAAAATTTCTGAAAAATAAAAAATAAATATATACTTGCACACACATACTCTCTCTCTCTTTCTCTCTCTCCACACACACACTCACACACACTAGATAGATAGATAGATAGATAGATAGATAGATAGATAGATGATAAATTGTATATGTATATATGTGTATATGTGTATATGTATTCCTTAGCAGACAACCAAGCAGTCTGACTAATCTGTCAGAGGTACATGCCATTACCATTTGAAGAGATGCGGTTTGGCATTTCAGGAGGAGAGGAATCTCATTAAGAAATAACAGGGTATAGTTTTTAAGTGAATCACAGATTTCTCCTGTTCAATTCCTATCCATTTTAGCAGAGCTTTCAGAGAAGCAGGTCCCAGTGGATGCTCATGTTAGTAGCACTGAATTAATGCTTCTCATCACCAACAAATACACATAGGGACTATTTTACTTCTGAATTGTCTTAGGTACTGCTGACAACAGCAATGTCTTTCTTTATTTTTTTCATTCATTCTTTTCTCGATTTTGCTTAATTTTTGACAGCTCACATTTGCACATAGGAATAAACCAATAGCATTCTGATTTACCCAGGTTCTTCATTGCCAAAGCAATTGTTATTCAGTACCATTTCCAGGTCTAATTACCATCACAGAGTGTGCAAGAAAAAAGGTGGCAGGACATTAGAATTTTAAAACTGAGCCTATTTAGTTTACACAGAATGTGGCAGAAACATAAACGGCAGAAACCAATCTCGTCTTCATTCATCAAAAAGAAATCAGCCGAGATGAAGCCTGTGCCATTTTTGGAGGTCTTCTTCTTCCTTTGTGTTTTATCCTTTTGGTGCAGTAGAATTTTCCCTTGAAATTCTGGGTTTCCACAAGTCAGTTTCCTCCACTGAAGATAGTAGCAGGAAAATATACAAAAAGGGAAGCTCCTTTCATCATCATCATTTACCAACTTGTTCAACTGCACATGTAGTACACTAGAATTGTTAAGAACCATGCTAATTAGCATTCCATTAAAAGGATGAAATCCTGCTAAAACCTGGGGTCTGATTCTGACAGTGCTAGTGAAACATCGCTCACTAATGCAGCCTTAATTCTTTTTATTTTGCAGAGACAGCAAGCTGACCATGTTGCTCCGCGAGTCCCTTGGGAACATGAACTGCCGTACCACCATGATAGCTCACATTTCAGCAGCTGCAGGAAACTATGCTGAAACCCTTTCTACTATCCAGATTGCATCCAGGGTTTTAAGAATGAAGAAAAAGAAAACTAAGGTAAGGGCAGTCTTTGGTTGTCATTCATTGGAAAAAGCAAAGCAGCCCAAGATAGTAAATAAATGGAAAGCCACCTCTATAGAAATCAATATTCATGGCCTTTGAGTGCATGGCAGTACATTTAAGAGTGTGTGTGGAAAGGAGGGGGGAGTCATATGTTTTGTACTTAGTGAATTATGCAGTGCTTTTAACAGCCACATACATGGCAGAGAACTTGTGTTCTTTTCTTAGAATATATTAGTACAGAGAGCTGCTTGAAATTCAGTTTTCTTTCTCATAATTCATATTAATAGCCTGCGGATTATAAATCAATTTTTTGAGATCAATGAACAGATTCCACAATTATTGCTACCCAACAGACTGTTCACAGAAAGAAACCTTTGCAAAACAATAGGTTGTTGTGTGTGACATCAATGTTAATTTCCCTGTAATTTTCTCCATTACTTTTTCAAGTACAAGCTTGTGAGGGCATTTTAAGCCAATATTATCAGTTAGTGTGTGAATTAAGCTCAATTTCTGATCTGAACCGTGTAAAATCTTCTGAAGAAATAAAACATTTGCAAGATGAAGATATTTACCGAGAAGTTGTGGCTGTAATGTTTATTGAGTGCAATATTACTTCTCAATGCTACCTTTTAAAAAGTTGTTTTAGCAAATTAGAGCGGCGCTGAAGTGACACAAAGAAAACACAGAAAGATATCACAGCCAGAATTTTCAAAGCCGTTTTCAATGGGGGCTCTGGGCTTGGTATTTTTAAAATATTTAAACAGATGTATTAACATTTGTTGTATGCTGCCCAGAGTCACTTTCCATGACATGGGCGGCTATTTCACTGATAAATAAATGAATAAATAAAATACCTTTTACATTATTGTTTCCCACTGAAAATTGGGAAACACATACTTTTTATTTATATGCAGTTGTTTACAGTTTCACAATAATAAAGAAGTTAACATGGCAGGTGAAGAACTTTGGACATTGTTTCAGTTAACATTTTCTAGCATCTTTAGTGGAAATAACAACTTCCAAACATTTCCTGAGCCAGCAAACAGGCTTTCTGTTCTTTATTTTAGTTTTTGTTTTGTTCTTTTTCCTCCTCACAGAACTCTTCTAGCTCAGAGGCACTCTTAGTTATCCCTGCACGGACTCTAGGTTTGATGTCTTTTCACAGATTTTTAATCTTGTTCAAGTCTGGGGACTGTGAAGGCCATTCCAAAATGGTTATCTTTCTTTCCTGCAAGTATGTTATGGCCGATTTTGCAAGAGTGGATTCTGATCATTGTCCTGTTGAAACATCCAACTTCTTTTCAGATTCAATTTTTTCAGTGACTGAGGGACATCTAGAGTGTGCTGATATTTAATTGAATCCATTCTTCCTTTCACACGCAATATTTCCTGTGTCATTGGCTCCCACACAACCATCAACCATAACAGAGCCATCCCCATATAATTAGTAATGTGTTATTTCCTTCAAATGCTCTGCTCTTTTTTTTCAAATGGGTCTTCTGTTATCATACCCCGAAAAATTCAGTTTTTGTTTTATTGATCCAACCATTTTGTTTCAAAACTTTTCAGATTTATCAAGGCTTTCTTTTAAATTCTTTAGCCCAGAGTTGAATGGGGTTGGGTGGCATCTAAGTCAAGTAAACAAATAAATGATTATTTTCATAATTATCGTTAGAGAAAAAAAACCTTCGGGAAACTCTCCCATGCAGTTTATTGCTGTTTAAGAAATGCTATATTGTGGATCTGTGTACAAATACAGACCCAGTGCCAGCTCAACATTTCAAAAAGTCATTTGCAGCTTGGACTGCTTTTTAGATCTGACCAGTTTGGGGACAATTCTGGCAGAGATCTTTCTTGTCTTCCAGATCTTGCCTTAATTTCAACAGTTCCAACATTTTCTATCAGTGTTTCTGTTAGAAGTGCTAGCTGGAAGCACTTAAGAGGTTTTTTTGTAAGAGTGAATTATCTTCATTTTCAAATGTTCTGGTAGCTCTTTGGGATTATGTGGTTGTTGAAAGTGAGCAAAACAAAATCCATAATTTAAGGGTAGAAATATCAAGGTATTTTTTTCTCATAAGGAAATGTCTTCACCTGGGTAATTATAGGCCTAACAAGTCAATCAGTATTTTGAGCCTTGTATGAGATCTAGTGAAAACTCTCTATTGGAGAAGCAGATAGTGTGCGAGATTTGAAAGCATCAGAGAACAGCAAGATCACCTGCTATCATCTTCCAGCATTATCAGAACTTTTCCAAGTTATGCATTTAAGCAACATTGTCAAAATATGACTCCATTAAGTCATCTAGTATGTTAGGCTGCACAATATTTGACTGTAATATCGTTGTATTGAGGGATAGTGAGTGGCTGAAAAGATAACTTTAGATGGAATTCTGAGGGTCACGCTGCTTCTCTGTGCATCTGAGAAATGCTAATATTTGCAAATTTTATAATGAATAGAATTCACTAAAGAATTAAAATGTTTGAAATCAATTAGTATTCCTTTCACCTCAAAATTATTTTTTGCTCATGATGTTGCTATCCTAAATAGCAGTATGGTCAGTTTGTGTGTGTTTTCGTGTGTGTGTGTGTGCATATGGACCTGCTTAAAATGCACAAACAATCTATGCAGTTGTGTTCTGTAAGGATTTGATCATTTTCTCCATGACATCAGACAGCATGACTGTTGTGGATACAATAGTCTAATACAGCCTAATACACTGTGACAAATTACCGCACTCTTTCCCATTCTAGTGCCCTCTGCATGTGTTGGGTCCAGAACTGTCAAAATTCCCATTGAGCTTTATAACTGAGAGCATCAGACTGGGAAAGACTTATCCTGAATGAGGCACAATGGCATTCCAAATATCAGAAGACATATCACTATTTACTTGAGTGCATGGTTTTGGAAAGCATTTTTTGGACTTCTAACTTTTCATCTCTCTCTTCTGATTTCTAGTATACCACATCAAGCTCTTCCGGAGGAGAAAGTTCTTGTGAAGAAGGGAGAATGAGGAGACCAACCCAACTTAGACCTTTCCATTCACGGAATGTTGTTGATCCAGACTTCCCAATTCTTCATTTATCAAGTGACCCAGATTATTCTTCCAGCAGTGAACAGTCATGTGACACTGTCATTTATGTTGGCCCGAATGGAACAGCTCTTTCTGATAAGGAGTTAACTGATAATGAAGGGCCCCCTGATTTTGTCCCTATAGTTCCTGCTCTTCAGAAAACTAAAAATGAAGGCAAATTGGAAGAAATGAACGAGACAGCCCCTGAAAGAGATTGCTTGAAGTGCAATACATTCGCAGAACTCCAAGAGCGGTTAGACTGCATTGATGGCAGTGAAGAGACAGACGGATTTCTTTTCGAAGAACTACCAGTTCAGTTTAACTCAGACCCAGTGACTAAATGTCCTTTATCAAGCCAAGAGGCAGAGCATTGTAGTGCATCAGAGCCAAGCAGGGAAGATGACTTGGTGGTCTGCCAGGAACTTGATAACGATGCCAAGGAAAATTTAAATGCTGCAGCTAGCAAAATCCAGGGAGGTCACTCCCCTGTTCACAGTAGGATGCTTAATGAGATTTCCACTCCTCAGACCCATTGGAATGTTATAGGCAGTCCTAGTAGTCAGTTTAACAGTTCTCAACAACCTCACTGCACAGACCTACAAAGCAGTCGAGAAAGCCTTAATAGCTGTGGCTTCATAGAAAGCAAGCCACGGCCAATGGGATCACCACGGCTTGGTATTGCGAGCCTTTCAAAGGCCTCCGATTACAAACCACCATCTTCTCCTTCTCAGAGGTGCAAAGTTTATACTCAGAAAGGGGTATTGCCCAACCCGGCACCTCCACCATCATCATTAAGCAAAGATTCGGGCATGGTATCCAGTGAATCTCTGATGCAGTCCGAGATCCGCACCCCTCCCATTGGAATGAGTCCTCAACTCTTGAAAAAGTCACTTTCTTCTGGCAACATTGATTACAGAGAGATGATTGACAATGTAGAGCAGGAACAAGAATCTCTTTCTCCAGAGTCAAAGCAGGAGATTTTGAGCACAACTATGGTCACAGTGCAGCAACCATTAGAACTCAATGGGGAGGATGAGCTGGTATTTACCCTAGTTGAAGAGCTGACCATTAGTGGAGTTTTGGAAAATGGGCGGCCAACAAGTATCATCAGTTTTAACAGTGATTGTTCTGTACAAGCATTGGCTTCCGGGTCTAGACCAGTTAGCATTATCAGCAGTATTAGTGAAGATCTTGAGTGCTACTCCAGCACAGCTCCTATTTCTGAAGTAAGCATTACTCAGTTCCTGCCTCTTCCAAAAATGGGGCCGGTGGACAAAGCCGAAGAAGCTGAAAGTAGACGTTCCTCTATTAGCTCATGGCTGAGTGAAATGAGTACTGGGAGTGATGGTGAACAGTCATGCCACAGTTTCATAGCACAGGCATGCTATGGTCATGGAGAAGCAATGGCAGAAGCTCCTCCTTCTGAACTTGCAAAAACAATTCAGAATAATAGTGCAGTTTTCATCAATGACAAGCAAAATCGTTGTACTGAGGATATGTTTGCGTTGCCAGAAGGGGTTGACAGAAATATTAATAAATTATCTCCCATCAGAAGCTGTAAAATATCAGCCATGGAAAAGACGACTGTCACAATATCAAACACTACAAGCGTAAGCAGTTGCGAAGAATTCATTCCAATGAAGACTAACATTACAGTATTCCCATGTATTGCTGTTAATTCTTTTAAAGCCCAGGAAAGTAATGAGGCCATATCAGCAGTAACATTGTCAGCCAGAACTCCCTATTCTCATGAGGGAAAAGAATCTAGTGCAAGAAAAGATCTAAAATTTGATGATCCTTGGCTAAAGAGAGAAGATAGTGTAAAAAATGAATATGGTCTCAAGGCTGAAACAGTACCTGGGCAAAATAAGAAAAAAAATTCTGCCGACAGGTTCAGCAGCAGCAGCGGAGAGATTTCAAGTTCACCAGGAACTGAAAACCCAAGGAGGGTTGTAGAGGAATGTGAAGTGGGGCTGTCGGGTTCTGCAACCCACAGCCCCCTTCATTCTACCGAGATTTTGAAAAATGGCAGCTTTAGCAGAGGATTCCAGAAGACCAACAAGTTGGAAGAACTAGATGTGGTTTCCTATCATTACATAGAGGAGAGTGGTGGCATGAGCTCTTCTATGTCATCCCAAACATCAAAAGCTAGCTTGGAAAGAAAGGTAGCTTCTCCCAAGCATGGTGTTCTTACCCGCCCCAAAGGAACACCACCATTACCTCCTGTGAGGAAATCTAGCCTTGACCAGAAGAATAGAGCCAGTCCCCAGCACAGTGCTTGTAGCAGTAGTACCAGCAGCCCTTCCAACCAACCACCCTCTTTTTTGGCTAGCTTTCCTGATGAACTGAGTGGGAAACAAAAGGGTTCCAGTATGGAGAGTGGGAGCTATAGCAGTAGTAAATTATTTAGTGCAAAACTGGAACAATTGGCTAGCAGAACCAATTCTCTTGGAAGGTCTAATGGGAGTCATTACGAATGCCTGTCCTTGGAAAGGGCAGAAAGCCTATCCTCTGTCAGCTCCAAGATGAACACTGGGAAAGACACCACCATGCCCCGAGCCAGCAGAAGCCTCAACCGCAATGCAATGTCCTCCCCAACAAACTCGGGCTTTTCCCAGTCTGCGGGAGCTTCACCAAAAGCCAGTCAATCAAAGATCTCTGCTGTGAGCAAGCTCCTTTTGGCAAGTCCAAAGGCTCGAAGCCTGGCTGCGTCCACTACCAAAACCCTTAGCTTTTCAACCAAGTCCCTTCCTCAGTCTGTGGGACAGAGTTCAAGTTTGCCTCCAAATGGAAAAAACATGTCCTGGTCAACTCAGTCTCTTAGCAGGAACCGAGGCTCTGGTCTTTCTTCCAAATTGCCCCTCAGAGCTGTTAATGGGAGGATTTCAGAACTACTGCAAGGAAACTCTGGCACCCGAGGAATGCAGCTGTGCAGGAACTCAGACACAGATGAACGCAGCAGCACTCATGGGGACAAGAAGCCACCTGTTCACCTGCTTCCTTCACCATATAGCAAGATCACACCTCCTAGGAAGCCTCATCGCTGCAGCAGTGGCCACGGAAGTGACAACAGCAGTGTCCTGAGTGGGGAGCTTCCTCCAGCCATGGGGAAAACAGCTCTGTTCTACCACAGTGGAGGAAGCAGTGGATATGAAAGCATGATCAGAGACAGCGAAGCCACAGGAAGCACTTCATCCGCACAAGACTCTATGAGTGAGAACAGCAGCTCCATCAGTGGCAGGTGCCGAAGTCTTAAAACACCCAAAAAACGTTCAAATACAGGTATGTCCCCTGTGGGTGTCTTGAGAAAAGCTTTGCAAATGGCAAGTTTGAGCTTCCAAGTAAGTTAGACTTGCACCACATGGCAAGGTAAGCATTCAACAATGAGTGGGGAGGGGGGATAGTAATTAATTATGCTTAATGGTGGCAGTGCACAAAGTCAGAATATGAATATGAGTATATATATCCTGTATTATAAATGTAGAACTCTGATGCTGCATTCTGACACTTTGGAATGGAGGCTGCCAGGAAACGCAATGTATTTTCCTGAAATTAATTCATTAATTAATCAAGAGATTTTATATGGCCGCCTGCCTCACAGAAGTGACTCTGGGTAGCATACAAAGATTTTAAAAACCCAGCAATTAAAAACAATAATTCATGATGCCCTGAGGTAAATGTTGCATTCCAGTCCCAAAATCCCATCCATAACAGTCTTGCCTAACTGGCCTTAATGCTTAGGAAACAGGCAGGTCTTCAGAGCTTACAAAATGCTAATAGGCCACCCAGATTTTGAACCACCCAGATCAGGACCACCCAGGTCTTTGGGTGGATGCATTTCAAGAAGGCAAGGGTCTCTTCTGAGGGGGAAAAAGGAATTTCCTACTTGGAAGACTCAGTGGGATAAATTGAGGAAGACCAAACAAATGTTGCCAACAAAACAAATGTTGCCAACCTTGTGCCTTTCAGGTATGCTGAGACAACAGCCCTGATCATTTCTAATCATAGGGCTGACTAGGAATTATGGGGCTGTTGTCGTAACGTATCTCAAGAGCACAAGTTCAAGAATCTCTCAAAATATGCTTGACTTTCAGTAAATGAAATTCAAATGAAATGTCTTTCATAGCGACCAAAGGAAATCGGTTGGTTTTATTTGAGTGATAGCAAAATGAAAGATCTGTATACTTTTATGTTTAATGGTGACTTTTTATATGTGACTGAGAGGTCAAACATGTTAATAAACTGTCAGGCTCTCAAGAAATAATCCCTTGGTTTTCTGCAAAGATCTGTATTGCTAGTAGAGAAATGCAGCTGTATGTTAAAAGCCTATCAAAGGGGTGCTTCCATGCAACATATTCCTAGTGTAGTTAAAGGGCAGTTACTTTGAGTTTCTTCTGCTTCCTCTTCCCTGGAGTCAAGAATCTCCTACAATGGCCCTTGCTTTTCCCCTTAACTGTTTTGATGCCTCCTCTGATTTCCAAAGACATTCCATCACATAAACCCCATATGTCCCTTTTGTTCATTGTACAATTTTGAAGAGCAGCCTAAGACTCAGTTTTCCCCTCACCATCTGCCCATACATTATTATGATGGTGATTCAGACTGGTCTTTCATTCTTAATAAAAGAAGGGCAAAGAAGAAGTAAATGTTTCCTAGGATGGCTGTCGAGTGAACAAAAGTACCCAATTCTTTTGTCTCTAAATAACTTTAATTTTCTTCTTGGCAAGGTATTTCAGAAGTGGTTTGCCATTATCTTCTTTCTAGGGTTGACAGAAAGTGACTGGCCCAAGGTCACCCAAAGGCAGAAATAGAATGCATGGTTCCCTGGTTTTTAGCCTAATGCCTTAATCATTACACCAAACTGACTCATAGACCATTGACTTATTCCCAGAGAAATCAAATTACATCCAGCAATGATCCCTTGGTCAATGTCTTGACCAATGAACAAAACAGATGAAACTAGGTAAATCTTGATCTACCTAATCCTATTTCTATGAGCAAACTTAGCAATAGATCAATCAACAATGAGACTGGTTTAGAAGTAAACTGCATATATAGAGACTCCATTCCAAATGAGACCCTGGGGAGAGAGAAATTAATTATTCCACTGTGGTTCAAATTCAAATCAAATGCAGGGAATTTGGCATGTAAAATATAATTCTGTATTTTACATTTGGCATATAAAATATAATTCTGGGCAAAAATGTGGGCTTTTTTAAATGAAGAATTAGCGTTGTGCAATACATTGAAAAAGCCCATTTCTACTATTAGCTTCCTGCAGGCAAACAGTCCTAAACACAAAACGGGATCCCCTGTAGATTAATTTATAGAGGCTTCAGTCAGAGAAGATATTTCGCGCTTGTTCCTTATATTCTGCCAACAGCATGTTGCAGGCAGCTAAAGGTTTTACGGTAGCTTCTCTGCAATCCCTAGAAATTCACATCAAAACAAAACTTTGTTTCATTCATAGTTCAGCATATTGGTTGAAATCCAGAAATCCTTAAAACACATACAGTATCGACTGTTCAGCCAATTCCCTTTCAAAGAAAGCAGTAGCATTCAGAATATGGAAGGGGTGTGAGAAATGGGTCCTTTTCCTCTTCAGCAGGAGGAAAGGCCTTTCCTGTACCGACTCTCAGCAGTATCACCTTCCTCCAGAAAATGGTTTTCAAGCCACCTTTGATGAGAGGGACATAAAATGTATATCCCCCATTGGCACCATTTGTAATTTCTTCCTAGTAGGCAGAGGTGGTATTCAGCTGGTTCAGACTGGTTCGCCCAAACTGGTAGCGGAAATCGCAGGTGGGCACGCCCCTCCACCCCCCACCCGGCTCTATGCTATGCTATTTAGGCACATTTTTGAGGCCGGGTGCATGCGCAGAAGGCAGGCGTGCACACAAACTGGGCATGTGCGTGCATGAAGCAAGCGTGCATGCACGCAGCGAACCAGTAGTAACCTAATGTGAAACCCACCGCTGCTAGAAGGAAAAAGTGAGGTGGGGCTGTGATTCAGCCTGAGTAGTCTTTCATGCTGCAGTTGCATTATCATCTGCAAGAAACTGCCATTCAACAAGGAGAGTTTACTACATTAGCAGACAAAGATGCATATTATAATGTAGAGTAATTGAGCCCTTGTGGAATGAATTCATGGGGGAGGGTGAAATCAATGTCACCCGTAGAGTAGCTTACTAGTTTCCCATAATACTAGAAGATAGCAGTCTAGAATGTAAATGAATAGGTTCCTGAACAAAACGTAGGCTGGACAGAAAATACAGTTCCAGATATCTACCAATAATTCTACTGCTAAAACAAAAAGGGCTAGTTATCCCATGTTGATGTCACAATCCTCTGCTGTCCTTGTTCTCAGACTCTCAACCAAAAACAAGGCATTCGGTGTCAACCTATAGTGACATTGGAGGTATTTCTCTTCCTTGACATAGACCAATTACATGTTTGTTCTTAACGGAGTAAGATCCTCTGTCAGCAACGTTTAGAAGGGCATAATAAGCATTTGTCAAAGATGGTTTAGGTCTAGCAAATCTTGGCATAATGCAGGAATTTGGATGGCTTGACCCTTGAGGTCCCTTGCAGCAGAATCTCTGGGAATTGCTTGCCCTGTTACCCTGGTAGAGTTTGCATCTATTGATCTTCAGCATAATGTGTAAAGTTCATCTCGAGTGAATCGTGCAAAGAAAGCGATGTGCAAAGAGCAAGTAAGATTAAACCTGAATCTTGAGTTAGAAGGTAGCTGTTTGGACCAGTCTTTTGAATTCTCTGTACTGGTTTCCAAATTACAGATAACAAGTTGTATTTAATTGTTAATGCATTAAATACTTTTTAAAAAATCAGGACAAAGGCTCTTTTCCCCCCCTCCCTGAAACTGGCTTGTGAATTGATATAATCTATTGCTTCCCAGCATATTTTCTTTGTATTTTTCCTCTACAGTAAATAGCATAGATGGTGAAAGCACATTCTTTTTTATGTCAACAGATTTATGAGATAATAAAAACAAAAAATGACTGCAGAACTCACCAAGATTAAGCTCAGCTACAAGTGGGGTGTGTGTGTGCTCTGCTTACACTGAATTTGGATGAAAAGTGTAGTACAGTACTTCAATTTTTCCCCTTTTCAAGAGTGATCTCCTTCTCTTAATTTGTATCAGTGTATAAAAAGAGGGTTTTTTTAAAAAATTGGGAAGCACAACATTTCTATTTGGAAACTATTTTGACCTGTGCTACCAAGAGCACTGGAACCTACCTGATTTCCTGTCATGAATACTCATTGCTATAAGGAATATGATGTGGTAAATATGTTCATTTCAGGTCAGGTGACCTTGTCTGGTTTATTTATGAATATTATTAACAGAAATGCTAGCTGTCAGGCATGTTCAATATGAATCGACATCAGTTCCCGCTAAAAAAGGCCACAAAGACTTTTAAACAAATCACTAACATCGTTAAATTTCACCATTACTTTTTGAAGCTCCATCAGTTTGTGAAAACAATTACTCTTGTCTCACTGCCTCCTCAAAATTTTCTTATTTTGTAAGAGTATTATTCAATACCTGAGATCCTTTGAGATGGAAAAGTGATCTAGGGCCTAAAGGATGATCACCTACAATACTTGGGAGATCTTTATAATATTGAGAGGAGCTATGTACTCACTCTGACTTTGGGAAATCAAAATATCTAAGTGAACTATGAGCATTCGGGGACGGGGGGCGGGGGGAAATGATAATGGAAAATAGAAGTGACTTTGTTGCTCTGCTATAATACTGGAGGAAATGTGGTCAAACTATACCAGTAGTATTATTGCAGCAATGCAAAACTGAAATGTCATATAATGCTTTTAGTTACCTTTTTTCCCCCCGAAATTGTGGGAAGTGAAACAAAGTGATTGTATTAAACCATCTACAGGCTTCTCTGCTTCTACACAAAATGTGTCTGCTGATCAAAGAGTGATAAGTGTGTGTGTTGGGGGCTGGGGGAGGAATCTGCTTCTTGACTCTAGAGGTAAATTTGGATGGGAAAATCCAAGGCTGGTGACTAGACTGGGAAATTGCCAAGTATGGTTTGAGGAAGATGGCATTCTCTCATCTCCCAAGCGCTAAACCCACCACAGACTGCTGTGTACAGTCTCCTCATAAGGAGCAACTGACTGGAGCAGTTGTGGGCAGTCTAATCCAGAGAGGAATTATGATTCACTCGCCAGCTCCGCTTGTAATGGCTTAAAAATTTCATCTATTGCTCTCTGAAAATCAAGTTTATTAGTTAGTTATTTAA